TTTCGTTTCTTCCACATTGCGTGTTTTACGGACCCACCAGTACAGTATCTAAATCAAACCCCATTATCTTGTTCCAATTTTATATGAGCCATAAAGGATCTTTATCACGAAAACATTCAGTTTATGAGTTTACCTCCCATGAAAAGAAAGACGAACACATAGTTCGAGCACAGTAAGATAGTTTGAATAACATAGTTTGAATTCAAATCAAAATCTTACGTTAAGAGAGAAGGTATGCCATGGTCACAATAACGTTTTCTTCTAATTCTTTCTTTCTTTCTTTCCTTTTTTTTTTTTTCTTTTTTTTAGGAACGCGTTTGTGATATGATCCGCCATTCGATGTTAACCTGTGGGTGATTTCCCAGCTTCCTAGTAACACGGGGCGAATCGATTTATTTTTTTTCCATTCATGTAAAAAAAAATGGTTATCGCTATCGCGGGTTGTATAATGAATGTTGATTGACGTCACTATAGATAAACATTAAGCACGTTGTCGACTTGAAATCTAAACACGCTTACCATTCAACTGTCCCTTTGGTAGTATATTTATAGGGCCTAGTACACGGCTATTTTTATTACCTATCATTCGCGTAAATAACAAGTTCGCAATCATGGCTATATAGGCCTATCATGTATGATGATAGGCCTAGAGCTTCGCCCACGTAGGCGCCTATCCAATCCTCATCCGGATCCAAGACAGAAGGGAATATAGACAGACCCAGACCTAGCCTACATCTTGAACTGAAATGCTCTAACACTCCCGTACAAGGCCTGGGCTATATCAACAAACATATGTTTACTGCCACTTGATGTACACCCAACAACAAAAGCGATGTCGCCTCCCCAGACCTGGGCTTTGAGAGATCTTGCCCTTCTTGCCCTGAAAGGTGGCCCACGTTCAAACAACCTGGACATAGTTAGGAAAGGGGGGGGGGTGATTTAGATTCGCTAGGCAAAGCAAGGAGTGAGTGTTCGGCTATGTTTCAGTCCCATCTTATCGAGGCTAGTGTCTGCACCCCCTCTCTCCCTCTCACTCACCCCCCTCTCTCTCTCTCTCTCTCTCTCTCACACACACACACACACTGTGGTAATATTTGTGGGTGTGAATAATGTATCGTCTCAAATAGCGCCTCTTGCTACCAAACATTAATAAATGGCTTTGGCCGCAAAACTTCGAGGGTAATGGGTGTAAAGGTTAGGTATCGATTCCCTTGTTTTCCTTTTATTTCGTTTGGGTGTCTCCTACGAACCACGACCTCCAGTCGCGTTCATGAATCGCGAAGCACGGTTTGGTTGGGGTCAATTTGAGTGTGATGGGCCACTTGGCTCCGCCCCTCGCAATCATATACTTACAGAAAGTATTAATGTCTATTATATCAGCATTAAGTTACTTTGAGATACAAATTGATTTAAAGTGCATCGTCAGTCAACCTAATTTATTATATTATTTCCGAAACTGTTGGTGAAAATGAATGATGTAAAATGAAAAGCAATGAATGTGTGCAGCGGTGCATTAATATAATGATGGTGGGTATATAGGATGCAGGTGTTGCGAAACTTATACTATTAACATATCTTTTAGTATCAAATTTAATTGACAGTCTTTAGACCTGGGCAGATTGGGCACTTCCCAGCAAACCCTTTCCCGGTTCACGCTTGCTCACTCCCCGCGAAAGGCCGACAAGCTTCACTTTACCCAAGGCTAAGGGGATATTCCCTTAGCCTTGACTATACGCCTTTATTTGTCGTTTCAGCGGCTGGTGTCCAACACCTTGTCGGTGTTTCCCCTCTCAACTATTCAAGAAACCCATTGCTTTCGATATCCGTCTTTTACATATTAATTTCGTTATTTTGGCAATTAATAATTGTAAACATCTGGAAATATAATGGCGTATGAACTAATGTCATATGTTCTTTTCCAAATAACATATCAACAGTTTACCATTATCCAAAAAGTGGATCCAGGTGATGTAAGACAGAGAAGTCAGAGAGTAGTTGCTTAGGATAATGCAGAGCCATATATTAATATACATCCTTCATATATGAATGAAGGATATATCCGTCTGACGAATATCAATATGAATACAGTTCCAACAATGTTTAAGTTTATATATATATATATATATATATATATATATATATATATATATATATATATATATATATATATTATATATATATATCAAATATGATAAGGAATTGAAATAAAACGATGTGATAAGATTTCTTGATAATCAGTTTTCGAAATAAACGATAATTTATATCTTAAGGCAGGTTTCCAATATATCCACCAAATTAACAACTAAACAGGAATAAAAGCGATCCCTCTCTCTCTCTCTTCATGTATATTTCAGTCATTTTTGCACTTCGCCTGATTTCCGTCCTTTCCCACCTCCTCACATTCGAACTATCCTAACTATGCCCTAGTTGTCTGAACGCGGGCCTCCTTTCAAGGCAAGAAGGGCATGCTCTCACCGAGCCCAGGATTGGTGAGGCGTCA